ATGGCAAAAGTCTGTGAGCCCCAAGGGTGGGCGGATAGTGTGATATCTGAACAATAGATGGCGATGTGTCGCCTGTTTGATTACTATCGTGAAAATTCATTTATTCAAAATGGTAGGAAAGGTATTGTTTTTTTTTTCTTTGCTTTGTTTTGTTTTTGCATGTTTCATGTTTCCAGTTGTTTTAATTGTAGGCCTGCTTTAAATTATACTTTTATTGGAGGACTTCAAATCAGATGAAGAAATGTTTAACATAAATGTGTTTGTATATCCTTGATTTAACAAAAAATACAAAAATTAATGAAAAACATGAAGAATTCATTAATGCCGAATGATTCTAAAGTATGCTTGAATTTAAGTACGTATTCGTTGTATTAACACGAAAGATATTTTTCTGTCAGTTTTTAAAAATGGGAAAATATTGTGATGCCATGTCAATATGCATACACATAAGATGCTAATTATTAGATAAGTATATTTTATTGTCATATTCTAGAAAGGAATGTGCAGAATGCATATATATATATATATATATATATATATATATATATATATATATATATATATATATATATATATATATATATGATATTATTGTGTGTGTGTGTGTGATACTTTGAAAAAAAAACTAAAAAACTAAAACCAAAATTTGAAAATCTTCATAAATCTATAGTCCCCGATAAATGTTCTCCTTTCTTAGTTATATATCTGAATAATAGATGACGCTGAAAGAAGTTGAGCCTCACATTTTCTTTAAGAGTGTGATATATGCTTTCCTCTCTTTCATATATAGTCTTTGATACTAATATGAGCAGTAGTGATATCAGCAGGTAACACCCAGCTGAATTAGAAGTACGAAATGAAGAACAGGAATAAGAAACACTCAAGAATAAACAAGACCTACATACAAACACCATAAACCTACCTGGCTGAAATTTTGATGTACGTCTTCGCACTCCACTGTATCTTCGTCTTGTTGAATCTGCGTAATAATTTCTGGCTTTGGCTTGACGATAGGAACTATACAGTCTTCTACTTCAGGGTCACATCCTGGTGGTCTTGATGTGGGATATGCGTCTTGTGTTACTGTCGTTTCTGGTGTTGTTTCCAAGGATGTTGATACTGTATCTGGTGATGTTTCCAATGATGGTGATGCACTTTCTGTTGATGATTCAATTGATGTTGATGCACTATCCGTTGATATTTCCATTGACGCTGATGTTTTTTCTGTTGATGTTTCCGTTGATGTTGATGCACTTTCTGTTGATGTTTCTAATGATGATGCTCTTTCCGTTGATGTTTCCAATGATGTTGGTGCTCTTTCTGTTGATGTTATCATTGATGTTGATGCACTTTCTGTTGTTTCCAATGATGATGCTCTCTCTGTTGATGTTTCCGTTGATGTTGATGCACTTTCTGTTGATGTTTCCGTTGATGTTGATGCACTTTCTGTTGATGTTTCTAATGATGATGCTCTTTCCGTTGATGTTTCCAATGATGTTGATGCTCTTTCTGTTGATGTTTCAAATGATGATATTTCTGCTGATGTTTGTGATGTTGATGCTAATTCTGTTGATGTTTCCATTGATGTTGATGCTCTTTCTGTTGATGTTTCAAATGATGTTGATGCTATTTCTTTTGTTCCTAATGATGATGCTCTGTTGTTGATGTTTCCAATAATGTTGATGGTCTTTCTGTTGAGGTTTCTTTTGATGTTGATGTTATTTCTGTTGATTTTTCCAATGATGTGAACGCTAATTCTGTTGATGTTTCCAATGATGCTGATGTTTTTTCTGTTGATGTTCCAAATGATATTATTTCTGTTGATGTTTCTATTGATATCGATGCTCTTTCTGTTGATGTTTCCGATGATGATACTCTGTCTGTTGTTGTTGTTTCAAATGATGTTGATGTTATTCCTGTTGATGTTATTTCTGTTGGTGTATCTAATGATGTTGATGGTATTTCTGATGTTGACATTGCTCTTTCTGTTGATGTTTCCAATGATGATGTTCTTTCTGTTGATGTTTCCAGTGATAATGTTATTTCTGTTGTTCCTGATGATGTTGATGTACTTTTTGTTGATGTTTCCAGTGATGTAGATGTACTTTCTGTTGATGTTTCCAGTGATGATGCTATTTCTGTTGTTCCTAGTGATGTTGATGCTATTTCTGTTGTTGAAATTGTTCTATCTGTTGATGTTCCCAATAATGTTGATGTTCTTTCCGTTGTTCCTAATGGTGTTGATACTAATTCAGCTGTTGTTTCCAAAGAGGGTGTTGTTGAAATTGTTCTTTCTGTTGATTCCAATAATGTTGATGTTCTTTCCGTTGATGCTTCCAGTGATGTTGATGCTATTTCTGTTGTTTCCAATTGTGTTGACGTTATTTCTGTTGTGTTCAATGGCGTAGATGTCGTTATTGCTGGCGTTATAGCCGATGTTGAACGAATTGTTGATTCTGTTGTTTTAGTTGCTTTTGGTGTAGAGGTTATTTCTTGCCTA